CCATTCCACCCTTCTCAATGGCAGGTTAAAGCTGACCACCTGAATTAAATTCTTGATCTTAAGTTTATTCTATGATCCCTTTCCCAGAAAGGCTCTATCCCATTCCTCTGGTCCAATTCCTATCTGTTCTTCAGGCTTCATTTTATTTTATCATGGAGAGAGGAATGGAGGTAGGGAGGGAGAGAGGAAGAGGGAGACAGAGGGAGAGAGAGAGACAGAGACATGGATTTTGTTGTTCCACCCATTTATGCATTCACTGTCTCTTCTAGGTGCCCCGACCGGGATCGAACCCGTAACCATGGCATATTGGGACAACGCTCTAACCAACTGAGCAAACCCAGCCAAGAGGCTTCATTCTAGACATCATCTCCATGTAAGCCGACAAAGACTTCCCACGATTGAGAATAGTCACCCCTCCTTCCTATGCTTACCTCTCTTGTAGCTCTTTCCACACTCCATTGTGATTGTCCTCACTAGATTGCTTCTAAAGGGGTCTATTATCACTACTTATCACCAGTGCCTAGCATTAGGTGCTCAATAAATATTTGCTGAACTATCTATCTAACCACCTAACCCACCCAGCTATAGCTAAAGTGGAATATTAAAAGTAAACTTAGATATCTTTATGCCAACAACAACAACAAAAAAGTAAACTTAGAGGTAGGAAATGCTAACCCACAGGCAGAGACAAGTTCTAACTTTCACGAAATTTATGACAGGTCAAGTATAATACTTAGGAAACAATGATTAGGATATGACTCCCCCCTCCAAAAAGAGAGGAGTAAAATAAAAATCTATTTTAAATGATCACTTGCCCAATTCAATGTCAGTACAATTTGTTTTATGAGAATGGATTAAGTAGTTGATATATATTTGTCATAAGAAATCCAAATCAATGATTTCAGTAACGCTACAAACTGAAATCAGCTTAATTTTGACAACTTCCAGAGTTCAAAGAAGACTGCAGTTACTTTTAAAAATCATCTAAATATAAAACTAGTTACATTTAAACAAATGAGTTTCATTGCACTGTCCCAAAACTGAGTGCTGGCCTTCAAGTGACAGAGGCAACCATGTGTCCTTTAAGGTAAGTATTATTGGGAGCGGGTTTCACATACAATTCATTTAACACAATCTGTGTTAATGCCACTCACTTTTCCAACCAGAGTCAAAAGGGACTTTCCTAGAGCCTTCCCTTTTCTTTTCCTAAACGAGAAACTGATTAAAAAGGTCAATCTTCACAATTACACTAAGTAATTCTGAAACACGAGGTGAAAGTACATTAGATGTCCTAGGGCTATGACTGGCAAAATACTTTACTGTAAATTCTGGCGTAAAGTAAAACAGGTTTTGAGGTGAAGAAGAAAAAAGCTGATCATCTCCCTTTAGACTGCTGCTTCTGTTGTCTCAGAAAGCACTGTCGAGGCAAACATGCCACAGAGTCCCACCCCAAGCACGAAGAGCCTCCGAATGTTTGACACATCAATGAATTAGTCAACGAGGCCCAACTCACTTTTCCCCTCTAATTTGCTTTAATTATTCCTCACACAAATCTTCAACTTTAAGTTATGACCATATGGAATCTTCTATTTACCCTGAAGTATAAACCAGGCCTTTACCAAATGACTACTACTGCTTCAATTCCCACCACTAAAATTGAAATCCTTTACAAGTACTGACATCTAGTAAAGACACACAAATACGGAAAAAGCCAGTCTAGTCGCTTAAAGAGATAGTATTGTAATGCTGCTTATTTTGTAACAACAGGCACTGAGCAGAGTGGGAGACTCGAAAGCAAAAGACAGGATAGAAAGCAAGGGAAGATCCCGCCCCAGTAAGCTCGAAGCCGATTCAAACAGTAACTTGGGATTGTCGCCTAGAATCGGAATCACTGAAACAAAGGCGTATATTACGGGAAGCAAGATGTCTGGAGTAAAAGAAACGGTTTGCAGCTACAGAGCCTATAACAACATCCTTCCACAGGTCTTACCTATGGTGGAAATAAAGGTGGTATTGAAGGCATCATCCGAAAAACGAAAAAGGACGCAGGTCTTCCCCACTCCCGAGTCCCCGATCAGGAGCAGCTTGAAAAGCAGGTCGTACGTCTTCTTCGCCATTGGGAGGAGCGGCTCAGGCGCTCGCCGCTGGCGGCCCCAAGGGATCGGTCCCTCTCACTATGGCCAACTCCTGACTCGGGCGTTCTCAGGCCGGAGGACCGGGGAAGCGTGGGAAAAAGGAGGGCTCGAGAGGGCGCGGGCGACCTACGAACGGCCTCGTCGAGGAAAGCACTGACGGTGGCGGCGTTCGGTGCCTCCGAGGGCGGCGACCGCGGCTCCGCAGCCTCTCCCAGCTGCTCCGCCCGGTTCCGGGGAGTCGGTCGGGACAAAATGGCCTCCCCTCCCCCCTCAGGGCTGCTCGGCCGGGACGCTCCCACGGGCGAGCCAGCAAGATCTGCTGTCGAGAGTGCTCGGCGGGCGTGAGGACAGTCTCTGTCCCGTGCAGAAACTCCGTGCTGGGACGCGGCGACTGCAGCGAAGGAGGACCCAGAGCCGACCAGCTTCAGCTACATAGCCACAGGAAGCCGAGCCGCCCGGGCCAGAGCCACCTTTTCCCCGTGCCCTCTCACGCCGGCGTGCGCGCTGCCTGAGGCTCACGCAAGGACGTACGCCCGCCCTTCCCTCGCGCCCACGCCCTGCGGTCCGCCTCTGCGCACGCGCGCCAGAGGGTGTGGGGAGGGCAGGCGAGGGCGGGGGAGGAGCGCTGGGTCTCCGAGCCTCAGTCTGAGGCCTGCGGGAGACCGCAGAGGGGTGGGGCGAGAGGGGGCGACAGAGGGGGAGAGAGGGCGAGGCCGCGGGCGCGCTCCCTGTGGCCGCCTGATAGGGTGCGCGGGCTTAGGGTCACGCCCCGCGGGGGTGGCGCTGGCTACTGACTGCGCAGGCGCGGCAGGCCGGAGTAGCCCTTTAACCCCCACTTTTCCCTCCGGGGGTCGCCCTCCCCGCTGAGCTGAGGAGACTCCGGCCTGTGAGCGACCCGGTGTCGAGCTGGTCTTGACGAAGCGACCGGCTCGGTGGCTCCCTGTAAACACAAGAAAAAAATAGCGCCCTGGGTCATTTAATAGCCTCTTTGCTAAAATGAGACGCATCCCGCAGTGCCCTCCATCGTGGGCTAGTCGTGACGGGGGGGAAAGCTGTATCCCGTGTTACTTAAGGAGCAGGAGTTTGCTTTCAGGAGATCTGAAATGGAAAATCTGGTCGGCACGATGGCGAGGAGGGCTGAGGAACGCCTGGGCGCAGCAGGACCGACCCGCCACGTGGACTCCTCGGCGCGGCGCCGCGTGGGGACCCCGCTCCGGGCCTGGGCGGTCCACTTAGAATCCGGAGAGCCCAGGAGCGCTGTGCAGAGGAGGCAGGTCCCCTCCCTCCCGCCGAAATCGAGCCACCGGCGTCCCAAACTGAAGGAGAGCGAAGCCAACCCCACCCCGACGCTGCCTCCTCTTGCACTCCCTTTCCACACGCCTCACACCCTTCCCTCTCTCCTGTCAGTGTTATTTGTAGCTCCCCTTTCCCCCTCTCCCTTTCTGTGGTTTAAATAGTCACACTCCTGCCTTACCATTATGGGCGTGCTTCCCAGTCCAAAGCACACCCAAGATGGCAGAGCAGTGGAACCCGGGCTGGTCCAACGTGGCAGGGGAAACCCTGAGGCATCTGAAAATAAGAAACAGGGATTGAGAAAGAAGTGAAAAACTGCATTTTGACACCCCACCACCACCAGAATGTTCGCATGCTTAAAATGTAATTAAAATTAGTCTTTCAGGCAATTAGGGTAATCCCATTTCAGCTGCCCATTCTTTAAAGACATGGTTTACGGTCTTCCTTCACTACGACCCCTACGGCTTCATTACTAAAGATACTTGTCTTCTCTAGTACATCTTGCTCTTCAGTTTGTTTCTGTGTTCTCTCACTTTAGTGTTTAGTCTTGTCACTTAAACATTATTCTTTCTTTCAGTTGGGAATGTCTTATGATAATAGCAGCCATTCTAAAGTAGGCTAGCTATGGGAATCACAAAATGAGCTGTGGTCAGTTTTTGTAATCCACTCGGAGTCAACATTTGAGCGCCTCAGGAATATCTTCAGTGTTAGCTTGATTCTTTCAAAATAAGTTCTATTAACTCAAGCCTCAGTAAAGTGTTTTAGAATTGTTACGGTTTTTAAAGGTAGGCAGCCTAATTAATTTCCCTGCATAAATTTTGGCGATAATGGGCAGCTAAAAATGAAAAACTGGGGGGGAAAAATTATCCGTTATGCCAGTTGTTTTCAGCAGTCTTATGAATTAGAGCCCTTTCTCCATGTAGTACATATTCTGAAACTTTAAGAATTAATTATCCTTGTTAACAAATTTTATTTATTATTGGGTCAGGATCTTGGAATCTTAGGGCCGCCATATCTTTTAAGTCATAATTTAACTCATGCATGTAATATACAGATGAGTCTAAGGCTTAGAGAGGTGAGGGACTTGCCAGAGATCACACTGTTAGTGGCAGAGTCAACACTATATGGGCAAGGAGAAGAAAACCTCCACAGGACATCACATTGCCTGAAAGTGAGACTTGGGAGACTCTGCCAGTACTTAATGTTTGGCTTCCCTAAAGTTAATTGAAGGTTTTGCTGGAGTGAGGCCTAAGCCTCAAGCCGTATCTATCACTGAAGGTAGCTGGAGTGATCAGGCATGGGAGATTCCTGACTCTACAAAAAAGAAATAAATAAAACAGGGGTCTATGTAGGCCTAAAAGGTAAACCTAGAGTTCTGAAGTAATATTTATAAAAGTGAAACTAAGTGAAAGAAAATGCCGATTTAGGACTAGCTTTGGGTTTATGCCTTTTTCAAAATTGCTCTGTAAAGAATCTACTCCAAATATTTGCAAAGCCAAGAAAGAAAATTGGTATATTTATATGTTTATAGTACTGATTAAGGTATTCTTTCTATATTTTTCTGGAAAACACAGTTGGCCAGCTCCTAGTTCCAGTCTTCAGCTTCAACTCTCAGGACCTGCTTTATAAGAAATCTCTGCCTCAAAAGGTATTGACTCTGGATCATCTTTATTCCTCTTCCTGTGTATATTTTCCAGTCTCTGTACCTGATTTGTTCCTCTTTAATCTTTCCTCCCCTTGCTCTCTCTGTTCTTATTAAGAATGGAGTTTTCCCTTGAATGGTAGCCCCACTGCTATGTCATCACCTTGCTGTAAAATCTACCCCTTCAGTCTCCAGCACTTTGCCTATTGGTTGTGTCCATAGTCCCAGTCTTCTCCCAGGGACTTCCATGAGATGCTAACTCCTGGTTGCCAGGAGGCTACAACTTTTCTTATCACCATAGCCTGCCAATATTCTGCTCTGGCTGCATATCTTGATTAAGTCCTACCCCCCGTCAGAGAATTAATGCCCCTTGACCCTTCCCCAGCCCACTGGACATGTGTGTTCTAGTCTTCTCCAGGGAAGCCTCAGTACTGGCCTCCTCAGTTGGCACTTATGGGGCTGCAGGCCCTAGCCAATGAGCTTTATTTCCTATTCTAACTTCCACATACTAGTCTCCAGACAAGCTGAGCTAGTCCTCTTTCCCACATTTACTATATATCTTCTTGATTTCATGCTTAATTTAATGTGGTTCTCTCTATGCAAAATGCACACCCCAGCTACATCTCTCCAGCCTTCAGCTTCAATGTCCTCACCACAGCCTGTCTTCCTCAACTCTTGTGAGAAGGAACTTGTTTCTCTTTTGAACTCCCATAGCACTTTTAAAAATCAATTATGGTTCCCCCTTCTATTTTACAAGTAATACATATTTATTTTTAGACACTTAGAACCAGCCAATAAGCAAAACAAAAAATTTTAATTATTAAAACTGCTACCCCCATCCAGAGAGACAGTTACCAGAAGGGAGGGGGGGGGTGGGTGAAAAGGGGAAGGGGAATATAGTCAATAATATTGTGATAAGTTTATACGGCGGTTACTAGAATCAGTGGGGTGATCACATTGTAAGGTATAAAAATGTTGCATCACTATTTTGTACACCTGAAACTAATCAATAGGAGATTGTATGCCAACTATACATAAATAAAAAAATAAATTAAAAAAGAAAATACATCTACCCCCAGAGATAACCACTATTAGCACTTTGGTGAATAGCCATGTGGATATTCTTCTGCCTATACCTCTTTATTTAGACATATCTTATGACACATTTTCTACATTTTACAAAAGATACTTATGTACTTATTTTCTCAAATGGGAATCTTTTTGAGGGCTGTGACAATTGTATATATCACTTTGCACAGTGCCTTGAACATACTAGAAAATCAAAGCATGTTTGTTGAAGGAACAGAAAATGAAATTCAGAAAGAGATTCACTTTTTATTTTGTGGAAAACAATACTAATTTGGAGAAATTTTCAAAATGTTGGGGGAAAATTGAAAATTCAAAAGTGATGGGAAGATAAAACTTTTGGAGCAATATTTATTTATTCATTTATTTATTTTAGAAAATACATGAAGAACTCACCTAACTCCATGATAGAGTTTATTTCTGTGAACAGGAAATACCGTTAAGGCTAACAGAGCAATTGGGATATAGTGGAATGGACACTAAAGTTGGAGACAAATAACGTAGACTCACAAACCTCCTCTGTTACTGACTAGCTCTGTAACCTCACTAACCATATTTTCCTCATATGTCAAAAGGATATAGTACTTCATGAAATTGATTCAAAAATTAAACAAGATAATGCAAATTAATGTGCTTAATGTAGCATAAAACATTGTGCAAATATAGTGATTACTATTATTGTTAAGAGGTAAAAGTGATGAATTGCACCATAAGGAAAGAGAAAGCAGAGAAATTACAAATGAGAATACTTATAAATGATCAAAGCAACAAGCCATCCTGGAAGAAAAATGGTGTCAGGAATTGAGCTAAGAACAGGAATAGGTCAGAAGAAAGAGAAGTGAAAGATAAAACTGGGAGAAGCAAGAATTGGAACTGACTTGAGTTGCAAAGATTCAGTGGTATCAAAAGGAGTAATGAGACCAAAAAAAAAGAAATTCAATGGTTAAAGGCAGCAGAACCTCCCACACACACACTAAAAGCTTCATACCATCAACTCCCATCAGGTGAATGCCCAACTCACCTATGTTAGAGTAACTGGCGCAGCCAGTGATTAAAAACATGGGCCTTGAGTTGGCTAAACTTAGGGTTCTACATCTGTTACTTATTAAACAGAGACCTTGAGTAAGTTACCTGACCTCTCTAAACCTGTTTTCTATTCTGTAAAGTGAAAACAAGATAGAAATTATCATAGGGTTGAGCGAGGATTAAATAAGACACAGTCTTTAGCCATTAGTTAATGTTCAGAAATGTTATTACCATCACAAGAACTGAGAAAACTTTTTCCATCTGAGGATCAGGGGAGTACTGGCAAAGTGAGGAAAAGGGGCTGCTCAAGGAGAGACTTGGAACCCAAATGGAACAGAAATTAATTCAGCTTTAGCTATTTCTCTAGAAAACCATACCCTCAAGTGTCAAGTGTCAAGACCTAAAGAAAGATCCATCAGACTTAAAAAGACAATGACAAGAGGAAAATGCTTTAACTCTATGCAAAATATGAAGAAATATGAAGCTACATTTATGACATAAATTCATAGACTCATGGCATGATATAATGGAGTCACAGTTGAATCCCTGTTCTATCTCATTTTGACTGGTCATCTTAGACAATTACTAATCATTTGAACTTCAGTTTCCTCATCTGGAAAGTGAGCTTATCAGTAGCTACCAAAGCAAGCTATTGTGAAGATTAAAATATTTAATGCAAAGAACCTGGCAGTGGGACTAGCAGAGCAGTTCCTTAAACATTGAGTCTCTTCCCCCTATAAGATATAAACCATCTAAGGAACTACTGTTGTAGCTCTTATAATATCTAGCTTTGTGTCTTGCTTGTAATAGTGGCTCAAAAAATATTAATTAGAATTAATTACGTGTGCATTAGAAGGAACCTTGGAAGCCATCTAAACTAAATTTCTGTTCCATCCAGAAATGCTCTAACCAACAAAGGCCTGTCCAGCCTCTGTGTGAATACTGCTAGAGAGCTTGCTGATACCAGAAGGACTGGCTGCAGGACTCAGTATTTCTGACAGAACGATGTTCACATACTGAGTGTAAGTGTGCTTCCGTGAAACATCACCCATTTGCTTTAATTCTGCCCTTTGAAGCAATACAGCTTAAACCTTTTTCCACATTCATGTGATAGCTCTTCAACTATTTGAAGATAGCATTGGCATTTTCCTCTAAACTGTTCCAAGTTAACTCCCTTCATGTAAGACAACTCACAGATACCTATCAGCACCACCATTCTGGTTTGCATATGTTCCTCTTGGAATGTGGCATTCATAATTGAACACTGTGCTAGAGTTGAGGACATAACCCTGTGGAAATGCCAGGTCAGGCTAACACTAGCAGGTTATAGAAATAAAGGCCAATTAGGATACTCCGTAAGACTGGGGGGATTTAATATCTGACTGAGAATAAACCACCTTCCAGATCAAGCTTACACTGTAACCATTGTTTAAGTTACTAAAACTTGCCTGGCCGAGCATGGCTCAGGAGTTGAGCATCGACCTAGGATCCAGGAGATTGTGGTTCTATCCCTGGTCAGGGCACATGCCTGGGTTGTGGACTCAATCCCCAGTTGGGGCTGTGCAGGAGGCAGCCAATCAATGACTCTCTCATCATTGATGTTTCTGTCTCTCTCCGCCTCGCTTCCTCTCCCTGAAATCAATAAAGATACCTTTTAAAAAAAAGTTACTAAAACTTTTCAATAAATTAAGATAAAATCTTATGTATACAAATTTAAAATAGGCAAAGGAAAGGAACTGCAATTCACAGAAGTATAAGAAAAATATATGAAGAAATGTTCAAATCACTTGTAATTAGAGAAATTTAAATTAAAACAGTAAGGTAATATTTCCTGCCCATCAGAATATCAAAAATTAGAAAGATGGATATACCAAGTATTGGTGAGACTGTAGAGAGACAAGATCTCTCATGCATAGCTGGTGGGAGTACATTCTGGCCCAGCCATTCTGGAGAGCAATAAGCCAATATTTAATAAATGATGTGCATGCCTGTGACCCAACAATACCATTCCTGGGTGTGTCCAAGAGAAATTCTCATGTAGGTTCATCATGGCTTTGACTGTGGCAGCTAGATGTTGAAATCAATCTAAGCATCTGTTACTAGGGGAATAAGGAAATAAAATGTGGTGGATGCATATTGAGTTAGTCCAGATCCCAAAGGGTTGGCTTGGGTTTGAAAATTGGCTAATTGGACAACTTAGACCTGAGTCAAGGTTGTTATCACTTCAGTTTTCTAATAAATTAGCAAACAAGCAAAGCAAAGAACAATGTCTTCCTAGTTCTTCACAGAAACAGGCCAAATCCTGGTGATCAGTACAGGCCATTAGGGGGAAGAAACTGGTCTAACGAGTTCAGAGTTGGGACTAAGTTTTTGTAGGATTAAGCTTGAGGAGGGTCTGGGTCAACATTCAATGGTCTACCATCTACCATGTACAGAGAATTGAGCCTGTAGCATTCCTGCCCATGGCCTATCCCACATGCTATAAAATATTGTATAACAGTATTAAGCTACTAACAAACTGCACATACAGCAACATGGAGAACTGAAACAAAGGAAACAATATGATTTATAGTACAATGCCACTCATGTAAATTAAAAACATACAAAACTATACTTTATGAAGTTTCATATATATTTAATGACGTACATCAAATACATTCGAGTGGGAACTATGGAGAGGGAGGGCAATGAAAAGGGAAGAAGGGAAAAATATGAGATGAAATAAAGTGAGCAGGGCCTCGCACAGATTTAAAATGTCAGTGGTCAGTGTGCTAAGAGGCGAGGATGATTAACTCAGTGCTCTCTCTGCCTCCCAGATCTAAATTTTTTTTTAAACGTATCTTTATTGATTTCAGAGAGAGGAAAAGAGGGGGGAGAGTTATTGATCGGCTGCCTAGCCCGCAACCCAGGCATGTGCCCTGACCAGGAATTGAACCCCGATCTCCTGGATCCTAGGTCAATGCTCAACCGCTAAGTCACGCCTGGCTGGGCCCCAAATCTAAATTTTTAAACAACACAAAAGTGAGGAAGGGATTAAATAGTACATGGAGATAGGAGAAATTGATATTGATACTCTTATATAGGTCAGATTAATAGCAAATTGAGAAAAAACTAAATATTTGATTTGGTTTGATAAAAAGAATACAGAGTCTAGCGGTCTACTTTTATGCCTAATTGCCTCATAATATAGTTGTGCAAATTTAAAAATCTGTGACAAATTTGTTTGATCACATTGATTTGATCATGGAAGCTCATGGAATTGTCTGTTCATGAAGCTTGGTACTCAGCTCTCAGCTGTTACCTGTCAGCTCTTGCCCAGCCCTGTCTGGTTCCAGCTCTTTGGACTAAGCACCCAGTTATTTCCAGGATGCCCCACCTCTTTCCCGGAACCAGAGAGAGGGTAGAAGCTCAGGTGTCAAAAGCCTTCATGCTACATACAAATTGAGTCAGTCACTGCCAAAATAATACCTGAGCGCAGCCATCTCTGTTGTCCAATACCCCCAAGAGGAAGCCAGCCCTTACCCATGTAGCTTATGCATCCAGGGTTCCACTGCCTTTTGTCCTGCCTCAGGGCATTGATGGCCCTGACAGCCAAATGGTGATCCCATTTCTTTGCCTAGTTCCTACCAGTGCCAGTTTCTACCTCTCACCCATATTTATTCACTTCCTTGGGTAAATGGACATTTTCCAGATCTTTGGATTTCCAGCCTTGAAAACCCTTCCTTTGACTAGGAAACTCTCCACTATGAGTTTTCAGTATGCAGAGCCCTCCTCCCACAGTATTCCCTTCCTCAGCACTCATCTCCTGTTTTACCCCCATACACACATTTAGGCTGTGGGGACATGAGCTGGGCTCTACCAGTCTGATACACCAGCCCAAAACTTTGACACAGGGGCTAAGGACACAAAGGAGAAGGCACCGTGGGGCATGTACCGAGAAGGCAGTAGTGTACAGCAGCAGCACTGGTTTCCAGGACACCTGTGTATAATATGATAGGTTATATTATATTTAATAATATAATCCCCAGAGCTGGGTGGTATCCCAGGTCCAGTGCTGGTCATAGCTGTGCTTCAGGCTGCAGAATCTCTTTGGTTTCCAGTGGGGACAGTGATAGCCTCATTGTCTGGCCTCAACAGACTGCCCCTGTGGCCTGTCTCTGCCCCCAAATTCTTTAGCCTGGTTATCCAGTCTTCCCAGAAATTCTGAGAGCTTCCCACTAGCCTTTCAATAAATTTATTTTCTGCTTCTATTTGCCAAAGTTGGTTTGTGTTGCAGCCAGGATCTCTGACTGACATACTTGTTTCTGGTAGAACTCCTAGGGTTACTTCAACTCTGCCTGACATTCCCACCATGTCTACTTTCTCTTCCCATCTTCTGCTGACCTTGCCACTTGGACCTGCCACACCTCTGCTCAGTTTTGGCCCCTGTCTGCCAGTCTCTCTCCCAAGACTGCTGTACATTTGATCCCTCTTTCCCAGGTCTCTACTTCCTCCCTCTAACCCCTCCCTAGGACTTGGGCATTCTATGCTCCCAGCGCATCCTGAGGCCCAGAGAGATGGGTGGTCATCCTAGCCCTATCATGATGTCAACAGTAGGCCTAGTGCTGACAGGAGAGAGTCCTCAGATGCTAGATGGAAGGGTCACCAGGAGGAAAGAGGAGCACAGGCAGAGAGATGGGAGGGTAGCAGAGACTTTTCCCTTTTTTATATTTTATCTAATAATACTAGTTGTCATTTACTGAGTTCCTGCATTGTGCTGGCCCTTTACATGCATGACCTCACATTAATAGTTTGAGATAGAGATTACTATAATCCCCATTTTCAGATGAGGAAACGAGTTTATAGAAGTTAAGAGGGGTGGAGTGAGATGATCCCTTGAATCTCTTTCAAAATAATTGGAAGGAGAGGAGATAAGTGGAATGTAGCTGAAACAAGATCAGCCATGGATCGATAATTATACAGGATGGATAATGAGTGTATGGAAATTTATTATACTATTGTGTCTAATTTGCATGTATTTGAACTTTCCAAAAACGTGTTGTGTTTTCTTTTAAGTTGGGAAACTTGAACAAAGTCATATAAGTAATTAGTGATAAGATTGGTTGGATTCCAGGCCCTCCTGACTTCATTGCCTGCTCTCTTAACTTCTACACTGGGTTCTTTCCCAAGGTACCTAAAAAAACCTAAAAGGAAAAGATAAATGATTTTCAGAGGACTCAAAGGGGATTCAGAGTCCTCTTGACTAATTTCTGCTCCTGTTTTCCAGGCACATCATGGCAAGGATCAATAGAATATGGCTAGATATTAATTCCCCATGCTTATTCTAGAGTTTATTATAAAGATGCCCTCATTTTCTCTGCCTGCATCTGAGTAGGTGGAGAAGCAGCCCATAAGAGAGTCTTTGGCAGCCAAAGTTTTCTAAAAACACCCAGGCAACAGCTGTCCTTGTGCTGTCACCTGACTTGCCAGGCCCTGAGTCAGCACAGCTCCCCAACCCAGCCCCCACTGCTGAGCCAGATCTGACTTGCCCTTTCAAGGCTGAGCTGAACCTGTTGAGCAAGCCCCACCCCGCCCTGTCCCAGTATCTTCCTCAGTCTGTGGCTTCTTGCTCCCTTACTCTCATCTGGGTTCCCACCCTTTCACAACCCTTGTCATCCAAAGCAGCAGACTCATGTCTGAAACTTTAGTTCTGAAGGGAACTGAAAGACCACCTCCGCGCTGTTGGAGATGTAGACATGGCTCTGGAATCTGTCCCTGGGTAGAAAGGATGAGCTGGGCATCAGTATCTCCTACCATCTGCCAAGGAAAATCTTCCTTCTCTGGGTGACTCTGGGGTTTGCTTTAGGAGAAAAGCAGAAGAAAATATAAAGATACCACCTGCCTTTCTATAGAGAAGGATTCTACCCCTAGACTCAAGCCCAGAAGCAACCAGGGCTGGGTCAATATGGAGACCCGATTCTTGATCTGTATTTCTGTGGAGAAACTCTCATATCACACCCTTTTGTTGGTCTAGACCTGAAGC